TTCATTTGCATTTTAAAATGGGCAGGCATTCTGGAGTTTTGAAAACCAACAGAAATTATTTAGGAGCGGTGAGAAAACAAGGTTAATTTGTGCTTCCTGAGATTTCCTAAAAGATGTTCGTGCGGTGCACGGGGAGAAGGGACGGTGCTGAGCTGGGAGCTGGAGCTGGAGTATTCCCGGCAGCGAGGGCTGTGCTCCGGGCCGGCACCGCTGAGCGGAGCTGTTGGAAACACCGGTGGCAGAGCCGCTGCGGCTCTGGAGAGCCAGGGCTGAAAAAGCAGATTAAATCCTTTAGAAATAGAGTAACAACTCATCTGCACGTGCACTGAGGGTGCCAGCACTGTGCTTGGGGCCGCGGCGGAGGCTCCCAGCTGCAGCGAGTGCAGACTCTCCCTGCAGACTCCTCTGTCCCTGATCTTTAGATTTGCTCCTGGAATAAAACAGAGGATTTCCAAAGGGAAACCCTGTGTGCAGTGTGAGCAAAAATGCCGTTGTCTTGAACACTTGTATTGCATATATGAAGACAAAAGTGCCTTCATTACCATGAGGAATGTGATGTGGTTTTGTTGCAGCAACAGCTTGGGGAACCAAAAAAACAACTTTTATCTCTAAACTAAAGCAGTTGGTATCTATCTCCTCTGTGTGTCCAGTTAATGTATCGGTCTCTGCCTGTTTGAGGCAAATATTACAGGGTCTGTCAGCCAGTACATCCATTAACTTTAAAGGAGTTTTGCCAAAGTAAAGGGCTGAATTTGAACATGTAGCACACAGCAGGCAGGACCTGTAAGAGGTGTCTGGACACCTCATTTCCCAGCTGTCCTTTCCCAGAAACTGATCCTGCTTCAGGGTAATTCTCTTACCAATATCATCATATACATGCCAGTGTGTTGTGCTTTTTGAGTTGCCTTTTGTTTTTTTAAACCTGCCCAGGGACACAAATGCTGGGGTGTGTGATCGTTGCTCTGCTCTGGGTATGGTCTGTCCACTTTGCCAACCCACACACTGGTGTGCTCACACTGCGGAGTCTCAGCGGGTTTCTCTGCTATGAAAACAAGAGGCAATAAATATCCCATGTATCAACTGTTTTGATTTAAAATGTTCTCCTGAAATCGGTTCAGCCAAAGGCAGTAAATAACATGCAGCCATTGGGAATCTTTTATTGCTCACCCAAACTAGCAATACTTTAATTGCAATATGTTGAGTGTAGGGATGCACCTCCATGCCTGTAAGTAATGATACAGTCAATACTGTCATCAGCAAAGCTGATGTATGTCCCTTTTTCTAACTCCCTTTTCTCCGTCACTTCTCTTTTTTTCAAGTACAGCATCCTTAAAAAAGCCATGTACACTCCAGGATTTTACCTTCCTAACCCACCTTAGACACTCCTGACTTTTAGGGAGAGCCTGTCTGTAGTGAGTCCACTGGGAGCCGATGTTAAAGGCTTGAATCAGCCCACCGTTACCTGTTTCGGGAATCTGTTCTAACAGGTATTTGGGGTTGGGTGCTTGGACCTCAAAAGGAAAAAGATTGATGCTGTCTCTTAGCATCTACATCTTGCAGATCTTTCTCTCTGCTGCTTCCCGTGCTCTTCAGAAAAATCCCACCTGACGAAATCAGACGGGAATAGGATTAATATGAAAAATTCCTAGAGGTCCCCAATTGCACCTGGAAAAAGCAAAGGTGAAAAACACTTGGGTCAACATAAAAAAAAGTGAGGCAACCTGTGGGCCTCCCATTTTGGACACTGTGGGACCCTCAGCTCAAAGTCCAGGCAGTTTTAATAGACAAGGTCTTTGGGTGACATTTTCCTGCAAGATTTTAAGTAAATGCCTTGCTGTAACATTTGAGATCAGGCTTCTCTTGGTTTCCATGATTCTTCTCCTTTTTAAGCCACAGACACACACATACAAAATATATTAAAACGAGCCCAGCTTAGCTAAAAGGTCGGCTAGTTCAGAAACAAACAGCGGGGATTTAGGTTGGAGGCTTCTGCGCGCAAGCAGAGAGCGGTGCACCTCCGGCTCTGCTTTGGCTTGGAGGGAAATATGGATTAAAACTTTGCACAGAGCAGAAGTAAAGGCAAGAAGAGATACTTTTATTGTTCATTTCATTATCCCACACCAGGAAAGGGACTTCACACAGTCCCCAGGCCACGCTGCTAGCAATGGGGAGAGTAAAGGGGTGCTGGATAGATGTGCTATGCGGTGAGGCAGGAATGGGGTCGATGTCTTCCTTTGGCAGGGCGAAAGCGCTGCCTGCTCCCAGGCCAGGGCTGGCAGGGGGTCAGGCGTGGACCAGCAGCAGGTGTCCAGCTCTGTAAAAGTGGAATGTGAAGAGAAGGCAGAACCTGCCTGGACAAAAAGCTTTCTGAGAAGAGAGGAGAGAGAAAGATTGAGCCCTTTCCTTATGGAGAGAGGCAAGGCTTTCTTTTACTTTCTGCTTTACAAGAAGTGACCCACAGTTCTGCAGGGGGAATGGCAAGGCTGCATCCTGGCAGGCGAGCCCTTTGCGCAAACCCAGGTCTATGAGAAACAGAAGAGAGCAGAGCTATCTGCCCGTGACAGTGAGAAAGCTTCACGTGTGGCTGAGACAGACTTGCCAAGGAATTAATGGCATTTATTAAATTTTAGCTCATAGAAATGTGCTGTGGAGGCCTTTCCTGATGCGAGCACCCAGCCCATTTGTTGGGCCATCAGTCTAATGCACTTTTATGAAAGGAGAGATTTGGCCGGTACCAACTGCACCAGCCTGTTAAAGCGTTGATTGTAAATCAACAACCACATTGATTCCAGGTACCTGATATTTCAGTGTGTTATTAGATTTGGTTTTTAACTGTATCTCTTGATATTCCCTGCCAGTGGTTGGCGTGGAGGGAAAGTGGAGGAGGCAGCACATGGAGCACTCGGGAGCAGCTGCTGGGACAGAGCAGGGAGATGCCACACTCCCCTTGACAGCAGCCGTGCTTGCTCATCGCCAGTGTGCAGAAACATGAGGCAACAGAATCCAAAACAGAGCATTTCTAGAGACAGCTATTGATACAAACGCGCACATCCACACTGTAAAATTAGACTAGCAGAGGAATGTCTTGCTTGTGGCGATAGCAATTGCTTTCCACAGGGCCAAAATGAAGTTACAGGACCAGGAAGGGACAATAACTCTTCATTGTAGATAAAGATCCCAAAGGAACGCACTTGGTGTCTCTTTGGGAGAAGTGTTTTAGTCCAGGAGCACAGCTTTGTCCTTGGACCACGGGGCCGTAAGCTCCCCGCAGCTTGAGGGGGGTTGAGGAGTAGGAGTAGGACACTGGGCACCCAGCACCCAGGAGAAGGCTTGCATCCCAGCTGCAGCTCTCCTTCAGACATCAGTACAACCCACCACTTACTTCATGTTTCACTTTCCTTCTCTGGGATAAATATTCTTGATTCGTCCCAAAAACCTGTCCGAGGACCAGGAACAACAGGTGAGACCAGCTGGGAACACCAGCCCTGACAAACTCCTCTCGGCTGATAGAAGTTTCATGACAGCATCCTTGAAATGAAAGGAACATTGGTGTTCAGACATTATTAGTCATTCTTTAAACTAGTGTGGGATGAGTGCCGGAAAACATTTCTCTCCAAATTTATATGAATAATATGACTAAATAAATCTGATTTTGATTAGTCTTCCATGGCTATCCTACCAGATGGATTTAAGAGGAGGAAAGTTTGGGGGAATATTGACTCTTGGCGGATGACTGTGGAAAGTTCACTGTTTGCATGCAAAGGTGACTTGATTGACTGCAGGATTAGACATCTTCTTGCATCAAACAGATGAACAGTCTGCAGGACCTCGGTGAACACAGAGCCTGCTGGCTGTTGGGAACTGAGTATTCAACATCTGCTAATGAATGGGACAAGTTATGGCTGTCTTTGGAGAAATCAGTGATTCCCTGAATGGGATTTTCCTAGATCTCCTCTGTGCTTTGTAAAGCTTTTATCATGAAGACAGCTGAGTGGACAAACGGCTCGCTGTGGTTTTACAGGGCGGCTGGGTGGCTCAGCACCCCGGCTCTGAGAGGGTGACCCCACCACAGCCCACCGTCAGCATCACGATGGCACCCTGCAGCCCCTGGCTCTGCAATGGGGCAGCTCGGAGAGGACCCCGCACCCCCGAATCTGAGGATATGGGGACAAGGGAAAAAGTCTCTGATGGGGACCGAAGCAAAGCAGCTCGGGGCTGTTGCTGCCGTGCCACGGCACTGAGGGTGCCCCAGGAAGATCGGGGCAGGGGGCAGGTATTTGCAGGTATATTTTTCCCCTCCTTTAAATGCTTTTCTCCTAGCGGCAGCAGCAGATGGGTGGGTATTTGGGGGACTAGGGGGACATATGGATGTCCGAGGGTGATGGAGCACGCCTGATGCCTCTCCCGTCTCCGGGAAAGGGAAGGGGGGGGGTGTTGGCACTGCTCAGCTCCCCCCTGTCAGCCCCTTACCAGCCCTCAGCTTACAGCCGTGCCTCTGTGTCTGACTTTGCAAGGGATGGAGAAAGGGTGGGGGGTCCCAAGGAGAGCGGAAGGGGGGCTCTGTAGCCCAGCCCGCGGCGTCCTCCCCGCCCCGGGCCCCAGTTTGGGGAGT